ATGACTAAAGAACTGTTATCCAATTATGTAAAGGTTCTTGCTGTTATCACTGTGTCTTGCCTCATGGGAACCCACCTACACTTCAAGGGGTTGCCTGTTTCCTTGGTTTGTAGGAAACCTATTCTTCTCACAGAGCTATGGTTCCCAGAGTTCCCTGGAAAGCGGTGTTGACTATTCAACCATTCTGAAAATTGTAGCTCTGTGGGCAGAATAGAGGTTTCCCAGCAGCTCTCAGCCCCCTTAACAAACCTCACCTCCCAGGATACTTTGTGGGAAGCCATGGCTATTTCAAGGGTTATGACACTGCTTCAAAATGGGCAGTGCAGATAAGGCCTAACTTGCTTTCTAAGGGGTGTAGTCGCGTTGAACTTCAGCTGAATCAGGGCCATTATCTCTGATCACAGACATTGCCACTTCTGCAGTTTATTGATTCATTATTCTTTTTTTCAAGCCCAGCATTTGCTGTATGTCCAAGGCAATTTACTAAAACAATTAAATTAGTTCATCCAGAGTGATTTCTTATTGTGAGCCGGAGTGCTCTTTGGAATGTCAATGGCTCACAAATTACATTTCTACATGGTTAGCATGTGAAACACACGGCAAGACGGGGGGGGGGGATGGGGGGGAGATGAGAGAAAAGAACAACCTTTCTAGCTAGAACTTGGTGGTACTGGAGGACTGAAACACGATGCATTCAATTTCCTGTGAAATTCAGCACAGTGTTAAGAGCTGCTGTAGAACAGTGACTTGCAATATAATCCTCCATGCCTCCACCCACTCAGTTCAATGGGACCTGCAGCCAAGTAGGTGTGTAGATGTGTGTGGTGAATGATTGGCTCCCTGGACGTTTCCGAGCACAATTCAAAGTGTTGGTGCTGACATTGAAAGCCCTAAACGGCCTTGGTCCAGTATACCTGAAAGAGCGTCTCCACCCCCATCATCCACTGAGGTCCAGCGCCGAGGGCCTTCAGGCGGTTCCCTCGCTGCGAGAAGTGAGGTTACAGGGAACCAGGCAGAGGGCCTTCTTGGTAGTGGCACCTGCCCTGTGGAACGCCATCCCAGCAGATGTCAAGGCAATAAACAACTATTTTACTTTTCAAAGACAACTGAAGGCGGCCCCATTTGGGGAAGTTTTTAATGTCTGATGCTGTATTGTTTTTAATATTTGGTTGGAAGCTGCCCAGAGTGGCTGGGGAAACCCAGCCAGATGGGCTGGGTATAAATAATAAATTATTATTATTATATATAGAATTGTAGAGTTGGAAGGGACCACAAGTCTCATCTAGTCCAACCGTCTGCAAACCAGGAATCTTTCACCCGATGTGGGGCTCAAGCCCACGACCCTGAGATTAAGAGTCTCCTGCTCTACCAACTAAGATATCCCAGGAGAACAATAGGAGCCTTATAGACTGCTGGAAGACCCTGGTTCAAATCCTGCCTCTGCCTTATGCAAGTTACCAGCCCTCTGCAGGCAGCTGATTTGAACCCATAGTGAGGAAATCTAGATTTGCTGGTTTATCCCATTCCCCTCCTGCAGGCTCTGTCATGTAGGGGTCTTTGTGTAGGGGTCTGAACTTACATAGGCTGAACCTTGTGAACGGGGCTTATAAGTGGGCTTAGCTTGGAGGATCCTGATCTGCCAAGCACTGAAATTTGATCGACCATCTGCACAGGATTCTTGTCTGTCAGCCTCAGTCCCCCAACCCAGCTGCAATGAGGATTATGCAAAAAAAAAACCCAAATTAAGGCCACGTTCCACTATAATATTTAAACAGTCATGGCTTCCTCCAATGAATTTTGACAAGTGTAGTTTGTTAAGGGGGTTGAGAGTTGTTAGGAGACCCCTGTTCCACCCACAGAGCTACAATTTCCAGAGTGGTTTAACAGTTAAATCAGCTTCCCAGGAAACTGGGAATTAGCTCTATGAGGCGAATAGGGGTCTCTTAACAACTTGCAGAATTGAACTGAATTTCTGCCCCATCCCCAGGGAGAGGAGAAGGAGGTGTGATCACTGCCCTCCACAATCTCCACCCAAGATCATTCTTTGGTTCAGCCTGTTTGCAGAACCCTCTAACGTATGCACTTTGCATGTCTAATATATATTTGCATTTTTTCTCCTTCTTGGGAGGTTAAGCTGGGACAGCACTTCAAAGCTTATGTATCGATCGAGGCCCTTCTCCATAATTTAAGAAAGTCTATCTTGGTTAATGTACCACCACCATGCAACCCGCTGAATTATTCAGCAGCAGCTTAAACTCTGGAAACCGCAGATGGGTCTGGACTTTCCACTGTGATTTCCCAGACATGAGGAAATGGGAGATGGGCATTTCCCTCAAAACTCAGACTCGGCTGTAAGATGATGACAGTTTATTAAATGTCTTTCCTGCCCTTTCTCACAAAGGAGCCCAGGGTGAAAAACAGCAAAGGGATGCAAATAAAAAAACAAAAGCACGTTTAAAAGAATATTCTGAAATGGTTGGTACAATTTGTATCAAAAGACGGCACATCTCACCATAGTAGGGAAGACTGTGAGCAGGTGACTAAGGTTGCTGCTCAGTCTACTTTCCAGGTGATAAGTGTTGATGGGCCTCCTGCCCTCCCTCTTTATTTTTATGGACCAAGTTTCCCTTCAAATAGAGAGCCCCTGTGAATTGCACCATTTTCTGTGAAGCAGAACACATGGGTGACTCTAGGATGGCACACCCGGCTTGTAGCAAGAAAGATATAGCTGACAACTTTTCCCTTTTCTTGCGAGGAATCCTATTCGGAATAAGGGTATTTCCCTTTAAAAAAGGGAATGTGATGGCCTGGGATTCAGACTCGGAGGCTGAACCTAAGGGATCCCAGCCTGCACAGGATTCCCCGCCTCCAGAACCAGCTGAGCCGGGGCTGGGGCCTGAGCCTGAAGGGTCTTCACCTGTGCTGGATCCTCAGGTGCAGGCATCAGCTGAGTCTACTCTGGCTCCTGAGGTGATGGAGGACCCATTGCCTGCAGGTGCTCCACTCTCAGCCCCGTCGGGGAAGCTGAGGTTGCCTCTGGGTCCGGTAACCCTCCAACCTCTTCTGGGCTGCAGAGGCTCAGGGCAGAGAGGCGGAGGGAACTAAGTTCCCACAGGAGCAGTGCTCACCTCCAGGCCAGGAGAGGCGAGTCACCAGAGGATCGGGGCCGCCCTATGCCTCGGGGCAGATAAAAGCCGGCCAGCCCCAGTCCCAAGTTGCGGGAGCAATATTGTTGGTTTCTAGTTCCTGCCTGAACCCTGTCCTGCTTTCCTGCCTGAGCTCCTGACCTGCCCTGGCTCCCCTGCTTGCATGCCTGTTCCTGACTTTACCCGACTCCCTGCCCTGCACCCAGCTTCAGCTACTACGGACTGCCTCCACATTGCATCTTTGACCACGGACCGGACTTGGACCTCGCCTCTCGGGTAACCCACGGGACCAGCACAGGGAAAAGTTGACAGCTATGGAAAGAGCAGATCTCCAAGGTTGTATGATGAGTACCCAGAGGAGGTGCATCAATGAAATTCCTTGCCAGTGTCTTGTTTTAGCTCTAAAATCCATACCCCACTTTCCAGCCAAGGAACAGAGGTTCTGACAGAAATGTCTTGTAGAGGCTGGTCAGACCAGGGTGAAGAGTGGAAGGAGATCAAGGAGTTAGAGGTTGTTGACCCCAGGGAGGGACCCAGAAGGCTGGGATGGACCACATTGGGGCCCCATGGGGTACCAGACTTGTCTGGGAAGGACATGGCAGGCGGAGAGTCTGATCCTGGGAAGATTGACCCACGACAGCCCCATCTGAAGCCCCTGCTGTGCTCCCACTTGGTTGAGCCCTCCTTGTTCACCTGCTTCTACTGGCAAAACTCCACCTTCTGCTGGTGAGCCACCACATACAGAAGAGATGCTTGGGGACAAGACTAGAGCCAAGTTGGCACTGCCTCTGTAGAGACATCAGCGCTGGTGTGAGCAGAAGGAGTTCCCATCGGCGTACCCAGTCCAAAGATGCAACCCACTTGTCATACTACTTTATTTGTTTGTTAGCTTGCATCATTTATGTCCTACCTTTCCCCCCTCCAATGATCTCAAGGTGATTGACCCTTTCCTCAGTTAATCCCCACAACAACCCTGTGAAGCTGAGAGTCCATGACTGGCCAAAGGTCACCCACTGACCCTCATGACCGAGTATTGTTTCAAACCCTGGTCTTCCAAGTCCTATTCCAATACAGTGGTACCTTGGTTCTCAAACACCTTGGTACTCAAACAACTTGGAACCCAAACACTGCAAACCCGGGAGTAAGTGCTCTGTTTTGCGAACATTTTTGGAAGCCGAACGTGCTCCGTTTTGCGTGTTATGCTTCTGATCTGAGTGCCACACTTCCATTTTGAGTGTTATGCTGAGGTCTGTCTGTTTTTGCTATTTATTTTACGTGTTTTTGCAGCTCTTTTTTGTTTTTGTGACTGTGTGGAACCCAGTTCAGCTACCAGTTGACTGATTGTGTGACTGCAGTACATTGTTTATTGCTTTCATTTTGTGGATCAATGGTCACGTTAGATAGTAAAATTTATGTTAAATTGCTGTTTTAGCGGTTGTTTTTAAAAGTCTGGAACGGATTAATCCATTTTGCATAACTTTCTATGGGAACGCACGCCTTGGTTTTGGAACGCTTTGGTTTTGGAACGGATTAAGTTTGAGAACCAAGATACCACTGTACTCTAACCACTGGAGGAAGGCACATTTGGCAAATTCTCACCATGATCAACTCCCACACGGAAACCTATGTCCCCACTGTGGAAGGATGTGTGGATCCAGAATCGGCCTCCACAGTCATTTACAGATACACCGTCAAGACCATACACATGGAAAACAATCTTACTCGGCTACAAGTGATCACCAAAGAAGAAAGAAGAAGAAGAAGAATTCCAATACTCTAACCATTATATCACACTGGCTCTCAATAAAACCAGTAAGCATGTCAACTGTTTATTTTGAATCAACTTCTTTGTTTGCTTAGCCATGTCTAATGCCTGGTGCACCACACTGAGTTGAGCTTTTCACATAAAATATCTTCCAATTGGAGTTTTTCACCAGGGGGAACCAGGACATAAATATAAACAGAAGATTTATATGAAATTTGTTTTCAGGTAGCCTGCAGTTACCTGCCGCTGTTAGTTTGCTTTGGAAGTGGTTCTTAGTTTGGACTGCATTTCAGTACATTCAGACTCACCATCAGCAGAAACAACTGCCAAGTATGTAAATCCCAACACTCTCACTAGTGACATCGCTGCATCAGGTATTTCCTTATCCCATTCTCAATCACTGCCACCACTAGAGATCCAGGGGAAATATGCAACATGATAGCATTGCATGGCGAGTTCCCGCCTCCCCCCAGTAAAAATTGGCTAAAATTGGCCACAACTTTATTGGTCACAGGTAAGAGGCAGTGAGAGATTTTACTTTTTTGGGCTCCATGATCACTGCGGATGGTGACAGCAGTCACGAAATTAAAAGACGCCTGCTCCTTGGGAGAAAGGCAATGGCAAACCTAGACAGCATCTTAAAAAGCAGAGGCATCACCTTGCCAGCAAAGGTCCGTATAGTTAAAACTATGGTTTTCCCAGTAGTGATGTATGGAAGTGACAGCTGGACCATAAAGAAGGCTGATCGCCGAAGAATTGATGCTTTTGAATTCTGGTGCTGGAGGAGACTCTTGAGAGTCCCATGGACTGCAAGAAGATCAAACCACTCCATTCTTAAGGAAATCAGCCCTGAGTGCTCACTGGAAGGACAGATCCTGAAGCTGAGGCTCCAATACTTTGGCCACCTCATGAGAAGAGAAGACTCCCTGGAAAAGACCCTGATGTTGGGAAAGATGGAGGGCACAAGGAGAAGGGGACGACAGAGGACGAGATGGTTGGACAGTGTTCTCGAAGCTACAAACATGAGCCTGACCAAACTGCGGGAGGCAGTGGAAGACAGGAGTGCCTGGCGTGCTCTGGTCCATGGGGTCACGAAGAGTCGGACACGACTAAACGACTAAACAACAACAAAGAGGCATTGGTCCTATCTGACTATCCGCCTTCAGCCTGTTTGCATGAAGACCGGGAAGGGTTAACACCAGCAGGGGAAGCCCTGCTGATGCACATCAACTAGGTACTCCCCTGGGGTCACCGCTCGTGGGTGCGCTCCAGGCTCTGACCTCCATAGGCTTCGGACGAGGCCACGCCCCCCGGAATCCTTTACCAGACTACCCTTCAATATTTGGGGGCGGTGATGGCGCTCCCCCCCAACACATCTACATAACAATACCCCTACCAATGCCTAACCGCCAAGACCAAATGAGTTGTGACGATTTGCTACGAGGTAGGCAAAACACCAAATGGCCAGTGCCAATTTGC